GGCTCTGCTAGATGAAACTTGGAAGTACGTAGAGGAAATCTTCCAGAACCTCTGTGAGACATGACAAAGGTGCTGTCGACTAAGTCTTGTAGCATTGTCTTCTCAGAGGACCAGTTCCAAAACCTCTGTGAGACACGACAGAGGTTCTGTCACTTGAGACTTGTAGCTTGTGCATCTTTTGCAGTTGGTCCTATGTGGTCTTCTGTGACATATCATCTTCTGTCAATACTTGCAGTTTTACTTTTTCAATACTTTTACATTTAAGGAACTGAGAGCTAACAGTTTCTAACAAAGTGATTTGTTATCCGTATTTGGTAAATTGTTAATTATCGACAGGTTGATCACTTTGAAGTGTTAAAGTGGAATGGACTTGGAGATGAGCCATTAAGAACACGTCAACTTGAATGATATGGGAATCCACTCGAGAGAGTGATTTTTAACAAATAGATCTATTTATCCATATATTTTGAGGACACCATTTGTCACTTTCACTGGTCCACATACCTCATAGAGATATGGGTTGAAAGCTATAAAATCAGTGCATTGGTGAAGTCCGAGAGGAATATCTTCAAAATAAATGGTGAAAATAGTATTTACATCTCACCCTAAGTCTTACAGCCTGACTTGCTTTTATTATCTATTATTTCCTGTTAATTTTTAGTTAAGTTAACCCTTATCAAATCAAAGTCTTCAAATTCTCCCTCTGAAATCATTTCCTTAATATTACTTTCACTAAACTTTTACTACGATCCTTGTGTATGATATCCGGTACTTGTACCACTATATTTCTTGAAAGACGATATTGGTACTAATTGTATACTTGCTGTTTGTTGGTCCTCTCTCTTAGTGATTTGATGATAATCCCTTTTACCTTATACGAAGTATTTACGTTTATGTCTTTCAGTTCCAGGGATCATCACTGAGTCTGTTCAGTGATCGCTGAAAACATGTAATGTAAATCCATTAGTGACAGATACTTCAAGAAGATAAAACTCACAACAAAGAACCTTCAGTGAAAGTTGAAGACTGAAACTAAAGATTAGGGACTGGCAAGTTCGTGATCTGAAGCGGTATTCATTGATTACTACCTGGTCTACACATGTGTGAAGACTGCCCAAGCCTCAGCGAATGCTGAAGAGACCTTCAGGTTATTCTAGCATTCAGCGATCAAAAGAAGCTTGTTGAGTACGATTGTTTTTGTCTTGTCCTTACACACATAATAGACAAACCCATACCTTTTCTAGAGTATAGTACGGTACGGAGCCGATTAGTTGACTCTACTACCCACCAACTCCATGAAAGGATGTCTGCTCATGAATAGGCTTTTGTATTATTCACTGTAGCAAAGAAAAAGTCTTTCTCTAAAGGTTTGACGCGTGTTCAAACCCTACTGCATTGCATTAAATGTGCATTTAATGCAATGGGTATAAATAGACGTGTTATATCTCCATGCAGAGATACTCTAACTCTTGAACCCTATCTTACGTTCATACGTTAAAGAACACACATCTAAGAACACAATACGCTTATCTTCAAAAGGAAGTTAGAATCCCTTTGTTAGTATTCTAAATAGCTCTTACCCAGAAAGAACTTACTTTCTTCTAAGTCTCAAACAGCAAATCATTTCTATTTGCTAAGAATTAGTGTGTAACTTAGATTGTTTAGATAGGTTATCTTTAACTTATCTTTACGTAAACAATCTTGTAAAATTTGTATTGATCTATCTTTATCAATATACATTTTAAATTTGAAGAGGTTACTGTGATAACTGGAATTTAAGGTATCAATGGTTGAGGTAATATTTATGTGATTATTATGTGAATATGTGATAACATGCATGTTTATTTAAGTAAATGCGTGGATCTTATATATATATATATATATATATATATATATATAATGTGAACGTGTTACTCTGCATACGTGAGAATCGCTAAATATATGTGTATGCAAGTATGTTAAGATGCATATATGAGAATTATTAAAATATGTATGTTTACATATTCGTGGTTAAGAAAAGAGGGTTAAAAATAATAAAACCTCCACCGCCCTATAAGTTTGATAATATTAAAACTTGCACCACCCTTGTTAAATATATATACAGAGAAGATAAGATCAATCTTATCTTATCTTTTGGAAAATCTTTGTGAAAAAGAAAATTGTGTTGTATGTGGCGGTGAAGGTGTGCTTGAGAAGATATCTTGCATAAAATGTGATTTGAAGATTCTGTGTTTATTTGAAGAAGTTGTTGTGTGATTTAAATCTTCAAATCTATGCATACAAGGTGAGTTTTTGTTATTAAAATCCTTATATGATGATTTTTGAAATATATGATTTTGATAGTTGCTTTTGATGAAGAAAGTTAACTGCTTCAAACAATTTATTTGAGCTTTATAAAAATCTGAGTTTTGGAACTGTTCTTGAGAAATAAAAAGATTTTGCTTCTTTAAAACAGTTGAGGATGATATCCTTTTTTAAGGATAAAAGAGGTTTTGAGTTTGGAAAATGATATTAAAGAACTGTTGGTTCTTGAGTTTCAAAGTTTTGGAATAAAACTGTTCTGAAACCATTATTAGTAAAAACTATAGAGGATGTTCCTTCAAGACGAGTTGTGACTTCGGTCTAACTTGTTTCGAGTTAATCTATAGATTTTGATGATAAAATAAGGGTGGCATATAAGGAGAGGTGTACCATGGGATAAGGGTGGCATATCAAGGAGAGGTGTACCATGGGATAAGGGTGGCATATCAAGGAGAGGTGTACCTTCAGATATAAGAGTGACATATCAAGGAGAGGTGTACCTTTGGATATAAGGGTGACATTTGTATGTGTGATTATTATTATAGCTCTTACTATTATGTCTCTTAAAATTGCAATAGTTTTGAGCTCTTACTTCTTTGTGATTTGATGATTCAGAAATGTTGCTCTTATTAGAAATGAATGTACTGATGTTATTGAGAAGAGGAAAACTTGGCTTATGGCCAGAAGTTTTGGATAACCATTCTTTTGACAAAATGTATGATTTATGAGGAACCAAGAGAGGCTCTGGTTGTTCCTTGAAAGGGACTAGAGAAGCTCTGGTCATTCCTTGAAGCATTGATTATGATACAAGTCTTTTACAAAACTTTTACCTAGACCAGAGGTTCTGTACATAGTGTATAGAGGCTCTGTGTCGAAGATTGTGTTTCAAAATTATTCATAAGACTTCTTGTTCTTATTTTAACTTAGAAGGTTTCTTATACAAAAAGACTTTAGCAAAGAAAGACAAACCAGAGGGGCTCTAGTTGGTCTTCATAATTGAACCAGAGGGGCTCTAGTTGGTCTTGGTTTTTGAGCCAGAGGGTCTAGTCATATATAAGCTTTTATTTTACTCTTTTATACTTGGGAAACATTTACATCCATCATCTGTACTTGATTTGGTAATATGAATATTGAACTTGAGAGGAGCTCTGGTTGGTATAACCAAAAGCTCTAGTCAAAAGAAACAGAGGGGCTCTGGTCCTGTTATTTGATGAAAATCTTTCTAAGTCTGGTTTTGCAGCCAGAGGATTGTTGGTCTTTATGAATTATGGATTTATGATGTCATTATATGAAACGTTGATTTTAAATAATGTTTTGGTGATTTTCACTCTGTAACTACAAGGAAAAAGGGATCTCACTAGATTTTTCAGGTCTAACCCTCATTTTGTCTTTCAAATATGTATTGCAGGAAGAATTGAGTACAATGATACTAAAGGGAAAGGGAATATATAATATTGTTTCCCTATGTGCATAACTATTTGAAGATCAGCCTATGGATGTGTTCTGAAGTACAAGAACTTGTATTTTGGAATTTTTTTTGTGTATTTTGTATCTTAGTATCTTGTACTATGGACCTAAGTGGGATAATACATGTATTTCTTTGAATGAATTATGTGTTATATGCAATGTAAGATATGGGATGTTACATTTACTGTGTTTGTATTCATCCCCCCTCCTACAAACTGTTATACACATATTGTATACCCTATCGGGACCAACACTGTTGGTCCTGATTGTAAGTCTGTGGGTGTGTGAAAATGGCCCTGATCAAGTTTTTGGCGCCGCTGTCGGGGATCGGCAAGCTATAAAGTTTTTTTTTTTTCAAATTAACTTTAAATATTTGATTTTTCTAACACCGTTTGATCCGCTTTTAAGAAGTGTATGCCATGAATACACCACAGGGAGTTTCTTGAATTCGATCTAGATATTGAGAGAACATTATGCCAAAAAAGAAGGGCTCAAGGAGCAAATTTCTGCTCTTCTCCCCTAATATGGCGTTACCTCCCTCAATTGATGAAGAAGTACCAATTCAAAATCCACCAACCTTTGGTCAAATACCACAATTTCAGCCTTTTATGCCAAAATGCACCATTTTTTCGAAACCCGCCAGGTAATCCTTTTCAACAAGGGCACCACATCATGAAGATGCACTTGATGACACGAAATCTGAAAATAATGATCATCCAATAGCTCAAACTCCAAATATAATTAATCCTGCAAACTCTAGAAATGGAAGAATCATGGACTATGTTATTCCTAACTTTGAGCAATTGAACTCAGGGATAGTTAGACCTCTTTGCAAAATTGTGCTCGATTTTACCCAGCTTTGAGACTCTCTTACCTATAAGTTTTCAATAAGACGCGACGGGGAGCATCAGTCTTCATGCCGTGAAAGTTTTGGTGACTACCCTCCATTTTGAGCTTAAACCGATCATGTTCCATATGTTGCAAACAAATGGACAATTTGCAGGATTACCATCGGAAGATCCTCACTCACATCTAAAATCTTTCATGAAAATTATTGATGCCTTCTTGATCCCAGGAGTGTTTAACGATGCTCTAAGACTTACTTTGTTTCCATTTTCTTTACGAGATCGGGCAAAGTCTTGGTTCAATTCATTAACACTCGGTTCTATACCATCATGGGGAAATATAGCCAAAAAGTTTTTGCGAAAATATTTTCAACCACTAGGAACGCTAAGTCCATAAATGAAATTTGTCTTCTTAAACAAATGGACGACGAAGTTGTTCCTGATGCATGGGAGAGGGTTAAAGAGCTGTTAAGGATTTTTCCTCACCATGGCATTCCTTACTGCATTCAACTCGAAACATTCTACAATAGGTTAAGTCCCATGGCTAAACAGATGCTCGATGCGACTACAGGAGGAGCCTTTACAGCTAGTACCTACAATGAAAGGTATGAAATCCTTGAAAAGATTTCTGCAAACAATTGACATTGGGCTGATCAATGTGCCCAACCGCAAAAGAAGACAGCCGAAACTCATGATGTAGATGCATACACTACATAAACAGCACAACTCTCTTCCATGGCCAACATGCTTAAAAACCTAACTTTTGGCCAAGGAGTGAAGCCAACTGTTACTACACTTGTTCCAGCATTCCTCTCATTGCAATGTGTTTGTTGTGGAGGGGAGCACTCGTATGACCATTGCCTTCATAATTCTGAATCCATAAACTATGTTCATAATGGATCTGGTCCCTATACCAACAATTACAAGGCGAGTTGGAAACAACACCCGAATTTCTCTTGGAATAGTCCATGTTTAAATCCATCCGCACCTAAGCAGTAAGGAACCTCTAATTTTCAACCCCAACAGCATGCAAGCAGTTCTCAAACTCATCAGCAAAGTTTTCAAACTACTCAACCACCTTTTCAAAACAAGCCACCTCCACAGACTGATTTATCATCTTCTTTGGAAGCAATGATAAAAGGGTTATTTCCGCAAGCTCAAGCTCAAAATCAAACTTTGATACCCCAATAAAACTCTTAGATCAATATCTTTTTAATCAGCAAAGTGCTGCTACCAGAAATATGGAAACCCAAGTCAGTCAACTTGCACTCAATCAGACCAATAAAGTCCTTGGTACTTTGCCTAGTAACACAAAAGTCCCAAGAGCCTTAGAAAAGGAACATGTGAAAGCAGTGACCCTTAGAAGTGGGAAGGAATTGACAAAGGTTGTGCAAAAAGATCGTAAACCAATTTTGTCAAAAGCTGATGCTACGACATTGACCCCTGTTATCGAAAAACCACCGAAACCATTAGAAAACCAAACATCTAAGGTCACCAACACTGTCCCCCCAAGATCAGACTACCCTTTACTATTTCAAGAAGAGTTAACTAGGAAAAAGTCATTACAAAATGAGGTTATAGCAGATCCTAAGACCAAAGCCATAACCCCATCCACACCACAAAAGAGTAAGACCAAGACCCAAGGCATAAAGGACTCATCTTGCTCAACACATTCAAATAAAGCTGTCATGAAACCAGTTCCTCCATATGTCCCCTTTCACCAAATGTTAAGGAATCAAAAAAAAGAATTGCAATTTTTTTATGTGTTTAAAGCATTGCATATCAACATACCCCTTATTGAAGCAATTAAGCAAACGCCCAGTTATGCCAAGTTTCTCAAAGACATCTTAGGTAAGAAGAAGAAACTAATCGAGTATGAAATTATAGCTCTTACTGAAGGATGTAGTGCACTTTTGACCAACAAGATTCCTTCTGGGCTTAAAGACCCGAGAAGTTTCACTATTCCTTGTTCTGTAGGTGGGAAGGAAATTAGGAAAGCTTTGTATGACTTAGGGCGCAAGTATCGACCTTATGCCCTTATCTGTTTTCAACACCTTAGGCATAGGAGAGGCTAGACCAACCACTGTTACATTTCAATTGGCCAACAAATTCATTGCGTACCCTAAGGGAAAGATTGAGGATGTTTTAGTGCAAGTTGACAAGTTCATATTTATGGCAAATTTTATCATCTTAAACTTTGAGGCTAAAAAGGACATTCCTATTATTTTAGGGAGACCATTCCTAGCCACCGGAAGAACTTTGATAGATGTCCAGAAAGGAGAGCTGACTATGAGACTTCAGACAAAAAAGTCACATTCAATGTCTTTAACTCCTTAAGTACCCTGATTACTTCGAGGAGTGCTCAAGAATAACTAAGATAGAGACAATGTGTCATGAGGACAGAATTAGAGAGGTCTGTAAGTTAGAGGAAGAGAATAGTGATGAGGTAATAAAGGAAGAGACTGTTGAGGAGTTAGGAGATGATGATGTCCCACAAGATGCAGCAGCATTTGAGTTGCTAGAAAATAGTGACCAAAAGAACTCCACCCCATCAATAGTATCACCACCTGCCCTGGAGTTAAAGCAACTCACATCTCATTTGAAGTTTGTTTTTCTAGAAGAAGAAGGCAAATTGTATGTCATCATATCATTTACCCTAGAGTTACATCAAGAAAAGAAATTGGTGGATATGTTGAAGTTGCATACAAAAGCTATGGGATTGACCATTGACGACCAAAAGTGGATTAGTTCTTATTTTTTTCAACATAAAATCAATTAAGATGACAATAATTTCACATCCATAGAGCCACAAAGAAAGGTGTTTACTTTTGACAAAGCCATAAATAAATTGTTCGGTCTCTCATCTCACATAGATTATGAGAATAATTCACTCTTGCATACGGCCTCTGAGGCAAATGTGGTTGAGAACATGACTTTCTTTGGAATACCTACTGATTGGGAGCCTTATACACATTTCATGTTGAAAACCGTAACGCCCTCTTTTTTTTAGAACGTTACGTAATCTGAAACGAATTCCTAAATAAATACTCCAAAAGACGGCTAAAATAAAACCATTTAAACCGTTTACAGCGGAAGTCTTTGAATCAACCAAATAAAATTAACTTAAGTTCTAACCCACCACATACCAGGTTAAGTTACAAAAGATCGACACAACACTGCTAGACAAAAGACTAAAAAAATAAGATGATAATTAACAACTCTCTTAGCGTGTCCTTTGCCCTTATCCAACCTCGAACTACCTACCCCAGAGATGCATACTATAGTCAGCTTATAAAGCTCGGTGAGTTCATGGTTTGCGTGAATAAAATCATATCTTGACATATATATATATATATAGCATATATGCATGCTTTATAATAAAGGTCATCGCTATTACAAAAATATATTCAAAACACTGAAAAAGAAGAGATCTCATATAATGTTTAGTCGGGTATGGGTCATTTAGTCACAAACACTCCCTGGGTTGATATGTCAGTCTTAATTGATCACCCACTTATTCAGGTCGTGTTTTATACTGATCGTGACTTACTGGTCAAATGCCCACCCTTGAATCATAAAACATTAATATGGAATAGCATGCTAGAGTTATCCGAAAACTGATTAAACACATAGCATGTAACCATTCACAAAATAACATATATGTAAAATATATCATAACATGTATGTAATTGAAATATCATGCATATGTACGCGTCATCAACGATTCATATCATGCAAAAATAAATTTGTACTTAGGTATGCATCCCAGTGAAATCTCATGAAGACTCACCTGGTTGCGTAGATCGACTACCTATAGCTTCTGACGGAAAACCTACACATTTCTTACCACAATGTCTAATGAGTGATTAGTCTCTCCAAAAAGTCAATAAAACTCAACTATGGCCAATCTGGCCCGACCTGAAGTCAAACTCCACATCCGAGAATCCAAATATGCCTCAAATAACTCAATTTGATCCTATTATTAAAATCCTTGTGGGTCAAACGTAACAAAAGTCAACCCTTGGTTCACTTAGTTAATCCCGACTAATTTTAGTCAAACCCGAAGTCCAAAACTCGATGACCTCCTAAAACGTCAAAATAAACGTTTTATGATCTTATAAATCTATCTCTCTAAATTAAAGCGTCTCAATAGTATTAAACTCAAAGACGACACTTTAAATCCTATTATTAAAATCATCTAATAATTAAAATATTTAACATAAATACCCCTCCTTAGGAAATATATAATTTATATAAATCCTCTGAAACCAAAGTGTTCGATAACAACTCTCCTTATTACGACACTTTATATTTTATTTATTTATCATCTAAATAAATAAATGATTTATTATAAGCATCCATATAAGAATAATTAATTAAAGTACCAAATCCAAGTGTACGATTATTTAGAATATTTTCATAACACTAAAAAAACACTTATCTAACTGTAAAAGTATTTTGGAAATTTCATAATTCTTATTTTATCAAAGTTGGGCAAAACTTTATTTTGTAAACCCAAGTAGAACTTGTCAAAAATTTCATAAAGTTATTGTGTGGAAATTTCTGAAACTTTAATGACTATACTAAAATTTCTTTTTAAATAAGAACGGATAGGCCGGCATAAATGTTTTATTGTGACCTTTAAAGCATAAGGATTTGTTGGAGCTGGTGGTTGGAACACCCCTTGGTATGTTAGAGGTTAGGGTTCGAACCCTGACCTCTTAAAAAGAGAATTTTTCTAGACGAAGAAGGGTTGTCCAACAGCAGCCACGGCTGCCATTTTCGACCTTTTCGAGCTTCGTTTTCCCTTCCTTTTTGTTTGTTTTTCATTCTTTTTATACCAAATCCTTGGTAATATTTTTACCAACATTTTGACATAAGGAACACAATTTTTCGTCAAGAAATGAGTTCCATTTTCTTACTTAAAGTTTTAATTTTAAACTAAACCGAACAAAACATTAAACTTCAAAATCGAACCATAAAACACAAAATCTAAAACATAAGGCTACAAGGGTTCCATAGAGGACTAAAAAACGAAGCTAACCATATAAAGAACATGAATTTAGTAGAGTATTTTACCTCTAATCGACGAAAAACAGGGATTTTGACCTTGAATTTCAACTCCGATTTTCTCCTTCAAAACTCCACGAAAATTCGAGTGGTTTCAATCTAAATGAAGAGGACAAAGAAACCTACTTAAATTTGGTTTTGTTTGGCTTATCCGTTGACCAACCGAGCCAATAGGAGCTCTCTAAACTTCTCATTGAAAAGTCGTTTACAAATTTCCAGAGTTTCTCCTATTTACAAAACAGGTCCCCCATATTTGGATCACTTTACACCAAACACTACCCTTGCACTATGAGAAATGACCTACAACCCCTTGGCTTGCTTACTTTAACGAAATTTACAATTTTCACCCATGTCTTGACTTTTTCTTTCACCTTTCGTCCGATTTTTTTAACCTCTTTTAATTTCTTTATTTATTTAACATATA